CATAGTATAGTATGTCGTTCCAAAACATGAAAAAAAAGTCATAGTATAGTATGTCGTTCCAAATCACGAAAAAAAGTCATAGTATAGTATGTTGTCCCAAATCATGAAAAAAAGTCATAGCATAGTATGTCGTTCCAAAACATGAAAAAAATTTCATAGTATAGTATGTCGTTCCAAAACATGAAAAAAAGTCATAGTATAGTATGTTATAAAAAAAACAAAACTCATGGTAGATTATGTACAAAAAAATGTCATGGTATAGTATGTCATAAAAAAAAAATGTCAAAATATATTGTGTCATAAAAAGCCATGGTAGAAGTTATAGTACAGTATTTCATTAAAATGTTGTAGTATAGTATGTAAACCTCTTTGTGGCATATGTCATAAAAATGTCATAGTATAATATGTCGTAAATGAAGTCATAGTATTAGGCCTTTGTTTTTTAAAAAAAGAATCAGGCATAAAGGAACTTCTGTGTGGCATCATCAAGCAGCAGTCAGTCAGTGGGTCAGTGAGGCCGCTAATAGTTGTCCTTTTCAGATGATGTCAAATCTAGCACATTACCTTAAGTAAACTGCATCAATTTGTACCACTTTTTTAAACCCCACAGATGATCTGTACACGAAGATTGATTATGTATACTTGTTAATGTGTTTGCATTTATATCAGGGACATTAGTCATTAGTGAGGAAATGTTTTTGTTTACCTTAATAAATAAATTAAAGTCCTCTTTTTTATGTAAATCATCTATCTTCATATTTCAAAGTTTTACTGTGGGCAAGACACTTCACTGCATGGCAGCCGCCATCATATAGTCTGAGGGCAGTGGTGGTAATGGACTGTAGGAAGGCCTTCATCGACCATGCAGCACATCCATTTATACACACACACACTGACACACACTGTGCCCTGAGGAGAGGTCAGACTCAGCAAAATTTGATTAATTATGGTCATTTTCACTTCACTGCAGCCACCGCCTATCGCGGTCCAGGGCGAGACATCGATTGGCTTTAATGACAATTTAAACTGGCACGTGCACACGAAGCATCCAGGGGTAAAGGCCAGAGAATGAACTTAATACACAGCACCCTCAACCATGGGATAGTTTTAAAACCTTACACTGAAAATAAGGAACCTACCACATCTAACTACTGACACATGAGTTCAAACATGTTTGTTCATGTTATCTGAATCTTTTTATTGACTTTTAGTGAATGGGATGTTAGGCATGGCTACAGGTAGACTGAAATAAATAGAAGCAGTTTAGGCTGAAGAAGACTAAAGAAGTTACATAAAAGTTTCATCTATTTGGGTTTGTTATTTTCACCACGTTTGAGTTTTTTTTCTCTTTCATGATGCCTTGTGATTACTTGTGATTTAAACTTGATAATCTGTCCCTGTGACATCCCATACTTTATCCATCACTCATTCATGCCCTCACAATCATCAAAGGTCCATAAAACAACACTTCTTATGATGACATGTTGAACTGTTGTTGAATGGCAGCATTATAAATGTACTATTGATGCATGTATGCTCATGGCTGGCTACTGCACTTGGGAACAGTTGCATAATCTGGCATATGCTTTAATAAAGTCCCAGTCACCAGAGGCTGAGTGGAGTGGTGGCTTCAGGGGCTCCAGCCCCAAATGTTTTCTCCAAAGCCCCGAATCTTGAGGTTTCAGAAATACCTTCAACACTGTATCATTCAGATAATAATAAATGCCTGTGTTGTTTATCCTACTATGCTATTCCTTAGAGAAATCTACTATAATTGAGTGAATGTTCTTCTGTTGGCCTAATATTCAGTTCAGAGTATTTACGGTTCGATTCGATTCAACATTATTTATAAAGCCCAATATCACAAATCACAATTTGCCTCAGAGGGCTTTACAGCGTACGACATCCCTCAGGACTTGGACCCTCACAGCAGATGAGGAAAACTTCCCAAAACAACCCCTCTGACGGGGAAAAACAAATGGTAGAAACTTCAGGAAGAGCAACTGAGGAGGGATCCCTCTTCCAGGACGGACAGACTTGCAGTAGATATGTGTGCAGAACAGATCAATATAATAAATGTACAGTAATCCATATGACAAAATGTTACATAAAGAGAGACAGAGAGAGATGCAGGGCAAACAGTAATGGCAATAGCTACAATAACATTAATTTTAGTAGTAATATCATACTAATAATACTAGTATTTTCATAGCATATGTTGTAAGTATTTATTCACGTATGATAGTATATGTATGTGACAATAATAATCATATGTGAACAATAATAGTTGGGAGTGAGTTATTGCCCCAAGCGAGGGGGTTCAAGTTCACGAGTGAGGGTAGAATGGAGCGTGAGATGGATCCGCAGTTTGGTGCAGCGTCTGCAGTACCCTAATGTGGGTACTGTGCTGGACCATCGTGGTGACGAGGGAGCTGAGCTGGAAGGTGAAGTTTCAATTTACTGGTCCATCTATGTCCCAACCCTCACCTTTGGTCATGAGCTCTGTGTAGTGACCGAAAGAATGAGATTGTGGATACAAGCGGCTGAAATGAGTTTCCTCCGTGGAGTGTCTGGGCTCAGCCTTAGAGATAGAGTAAGGAGCTCAGACATCCGGAGGGAGCTCGGAGTGGAGCCGCTGCTCCTTCACATCGAAAGGGGTCAGTTGAGGTGTTTCAGGCATCTGATCAGGATGCCTCCTCTGTGCCTCCTGTTAAGAGGTTTTCTGGGCACGACCCACTGGTAGGAGGCCCAAGGACAGACCCAGAACACAGTGGAGGGATTACATATCTAATCTGGTCTGGGAATGCCTCAGGGTCCCCCAGGAGAAGCTGGAAAGTGTTGCCCAAGAGAGAGATGTCTGGGGTGCTTTGCTTAGCCTGCTGCCCCCACGACCCAACTTCGGATAAGCTGTTGAAAATGGAGGGATGGATGGTATAATAATAGTAGGAGTATGACTAATAATAATAGCAGTAGTAGTCAGCATCAAGCAGGACAGACCCCGACCCCGACCCATGATCCAGGCGTAGCCGCGATTTGATGGAACCTGCTCCAGAGAAGAAGCCGAGTTAGTGACATGCAGTAAAAGGACATGAATGTTAGCAAATGAAGAACCAACTTTTCTACTTTCTTGAGAAGAAGCTCAGTGTATCATGGGAGATCCCCCAGCAGTATAGGCCTATATCAGCCTAACTAGGGGCTGGTCCATGGCAAGCCTGAGCCAGCCCTAACTATAAGCTTTATCAAGAAGGAAAGTCTTAAGTCTGCTCTTAAATGTGGAGATGGTGTCTGCCTCCTGGACCAAAACAGGAAGATGGTTCCACAGAAGAGGAACTGGATAGCTAAAGGAGATCCCATGTACTTGGCATTTTGGGGGATCCTAGAGCAGCCCAGATTATTATAGCATGAATTTGTCAGCTAAACTTTCATTATGTAAACTCTACTACAGCATAATGTAACAAAACTAGGCTGTATTTATGCCAAATACCTACCCTAATAATAGTAAGGCAGGAGTGGCAGGAGTGAAAATTTGTCATCTTCAACATTTATGTTATGGTTTTGGAATGAAGATGCAATATATGATGTAGGCTCTACAGGATGTCTATCATGTGTTTACCCTAATGATATTCAACTTTTTAGGCATACATTTTCATATTGTGTGAAAAATAATGCATATAGCTGCCGTAAAGCCCCATTTATGCTCCCTTTACGTACGAAAATGTATACGTCCATTTCAAACAATGTTACCGTCACTGCCCACATACTTCCATGTGTCCTTTACGTTGGCATGGATGTTAACCAATATATCCACCAGGAGGCAGCCCAGCGTCAAAAGTTTATGACAACAACAAACTCAAAAACAAACATGGCAACTGTGGAGGAGATATTGATAATGTACCTCTTGCATAAAAGACAAAAACAGAGGCAGCGTTGTAGGAGGCGGTGGTCGATGAGGCCGTTAAATACATCGTGACTGGAGGACGGAGAATTCTTTTCTCTAGTACTGCCGATGAGAGAAATTGAATTGTTATTTCTTCTTTGTATCTCACTAAAGCTATGTATCGGGTAGTGACAGCAACACTGCCCCCATGGTTTCTGGTGGTACTGCTCCGTTTGGCCCGTATCCGTAAGCTTTATGGAAACGTGCAGAAATACGGACGAAATGAACACGGAGCACAGACAGAAGGCTCCGTCCGTATCCGGATCCGTATTTAATGTTGAGCATAAATGGGCCTTTAAAGGAGAAAAAATCTCCCTGGGAAGGCATGATCCTGAGTCCCTTAGGTTTTGGCCCCGCCCCTCCTAGCAACTGTGAATGATTGCATCCTCTTCACCCTTTGAACCCTGGAGTGACATCACTTTTCTTGTGCTGCTTTCAGATGACTTTAGCAAGTATTAAAGTACCATTTAAGTACCCAGTTATACACATCACCTTTTCATCACAAAATGCAGCATCAGAATAACTTTGCTTCATTATGTCTGTACCTTTAAAGGCATGACTGTGGAGCAATAAGGCCATGCTTTTCAGTTAATCTCTGCTGTTTTAAGTAACTATATAGGAATGCTAATTCTCATCAGCCAGGACTTTAAGTACACCGTCCACATATATCCAAGTGCACTTACTGCATACATGAATACACACAGATCATCGTATTAACATTTTAGGACCAAAGGGCTGATACTTCTTTGTAATTGGTTAGAAAAGTGCTGAATAAACAGTCACAGAAAATGCCCATCTGAAACATTGCCCTTGAAAAGTTTTCCATCCCCATCTCTAGGTCAGCTGACTTTCTTTTATTAGCACTTCATTAAAATTCATTAATTGCTTCCTTTCTCCTGGGCGCAGCCAGAATCAAAACTGGAACTGTCAAAAATTAGAGCAGGAGCAACTGTCCTGTGCTCCAGATACACAACCTGTGACGCCAGCCTGCTGCAAAACACCTCCCACCCACCCACCCATCTGTTCAAAAGACAACATGCACATAGAGGACAGAGATGCCAGCTTAAAGAAGTAGACGTAAATTTTATTTACTTGTTCTGTACATAAAGGGTCAATACCAGCACAGGTGTTAACCATGGTAAATATTAACACATGTAAATGGTATAAGAAAATAAAAGGCACAATTTTCAATTCTTAAGTAAAAGACAGGCTTTCCTAGAATATGAGAAGCACAGTAATACTGTTAATGCCATTACAAAACAACTCAGAAGCATGAGAAAAGCAAGTTCACCTCAGGAAAGGAAATAATCAGGGTGTATTGCTTAATTAGTAGATTTCATTAAGTTTGATGAGGAAAACCCACACTGGCTTTGTTCGCACAGACCAGGAGGGATCAAAATAAGAGAAACCTTTTTATTTAATAAGGAAATAAATGACATTAAGCAGCATTTGGCCAGGTCGAACCATCTCCCTGGCCAAGAGGTCATGCACAGAGGCAACCAGCAGGCATTTTTCCCTTTTGTAAATGTCACCGTAGGTACTTTTGTTTAACAACATCACTCATTTTCAAACAAAAAAATGCTTGATTTAATAGCTGACTATAACAAAATAAAAATCGGGATACAACTAAAAGCTGCACAATATTAATCTGAGTGAATGGCTGAGCGTTGATTTGAACGGAAAGCACTAGGCGGAGAGATGAAGGGGTGAAATGGTTCATTTTTTTACAGCAGAAATCTAGAGGTCGGCACTGTTTGCACAACTGTTTAATCCTCCGCTGTGACTGGTCAAACAGAATTGGTTGCAGCACAGTATGAACAAAGATGCTTTCCACTACTCCAATAAGAGTCTGTTTGCATATAGAGAGACAAAAAAATTGTGCACAGACCAAATATTTAAGCTGGTTGAAATCCTAAATTGACCGGAGCAACATCGCATTAAGAACACACAGTTAGAGAGGGGATTGCATGCGCTAAAGATGCATTTACTTACTCTCTGAAAAAAGGCAATTGATGGGATTCTCATTGGCTTGCTGAGACATTTCCTCCTTCCCTGACCTACGCCACTGAAAGCAGAGCTTCTCACCTCAGTGGAAAGCCTTCAGTCCTTGTGCCCACAATGCATTTTTAGCTAGCCTTGTCAGATGCTTGTGGGAAGTGCTGGCCAGTTGCTACTTGACTTTTTGAAAACCTGTTCAAAGCTTGGCTATGCAGAAAGTTGAAATATATGTTCTAGTGCTTGGGTGCTGTTGGCACTAAAAACCTGCTAATTTCTAAGCAACGTCCTTTTAGTTCAAAGTAATGTGAAGGACAGTAACGAGAGGTACCGAGTGGACATGCAAAGTTACCCCTCTACCATACATCTTCTCCAAGTCACAAATATAAAAAACAAACAAACAAAAAAAACTATTGTTGATCATGTGGCACAAATAAGGAAAAGATTAAATCACATATGGCCGTGTCATGTCTTATTAAGGAAAAGATAAATAAGTCTTGTCAGCCAGACTTGTGCCAGGTGGAAAAGTGGATGGGATCATGGGATCTATGTTATGGTACAACTGAGACCTTCCACAAACCCATCTCCTGCTTCTCCCCAGTCACACATCACATACACATCAAAAAACCCATCAACCTGAATATCTCCCGGCCAATACGTGTGTGTATGTGTGTGCTTGTGAGATGGCTAAGGTACAACAGTGACTTGATTGTTTGGAGAAATAACATTTGACTGGCTGGTTAGCTCCTCATTACCTCAGTGCTCTCCCAAGTCCATAGGGATAATGCCGTTCCCTACTTCGTACAAATATCCTCACATTAACGAAACAAACACACACCAACACTTTCTAAAGTCCCCAAGACTTCAAACAACAAAGATTCAGAGAAATCAAATAAAAAAAAAAAAACAGACACGTTGTGATGTATTGTGGCAAATATCTATCGTGAACACACACACACACACACCCGCACACACGCACATGCACTTATACATACGCACACACACACACGCTCACACTGATGCCCAGTGATCTGGAAATGAAAAAGGACACTAATGCAAAAACACTGCCCAGCCTGGAACCAAGTCAAAGGAGAGGGGACTGGGAGAAACGGGGTCAGGTTTTAGTTTGGATCCAATGTCCAAAGCTGTAAACAGTCAGAAAGCCTTGCAACGGTTGGCAACAACAGAGGGGTCGCTATCATGGTACAGCCCCAAGCAGGCAAGCACGTAACCGTGGTGACACTGGCGGGAAAGGTGGAGACGGCCAGCAGATTCAGGTACAGGTCAATACTGGCGAGAAGGTCCAGTCGAACTCGTGGGTCAGTCACTCTCATCAGGATTCTGGGGGTCTATGATTTTGACATGGGTGAATGGGAAGAGACCCCGCCGTCCGTTCACCTCTCCCTCCCACTGACCGCTGATGTTCATCCGTGTGACCTTGACGATGTCTCCGACCTGAGGGCAGAAGGACAGGAGGGTGAGTTACACCAGGACACCGTAAATTTGACTGGGTTTAAAATTACATGCATTAAAAAACAGACATGATAAAACTGTGACATTTATACTTCTGCATTGAGTCAACGCCATAACTACACCGTAGCCTGATGTACACCTCCCCAGAAATGTAACTACACATCACAGTGACGCAGACCTCCTGTGTATTTTTGTGCTGAAACCATTGCCCTCAGTGGAAACAAAGCTTATATTTACTTTAATTTCACAGATAAGAAATAATAAATTGCGAAGACAATAAAAATAAACAAAAATAGCATTTTAAGTCTTGTGTGTGATTTATCCTGGCTTCGTATGAGCAGAGGACATCTCCGCTTGTGGCTAAGCTAATTTATATAATGTAAAATGCCATAGGCTTGTGCTAATAATGTTAGCAAGTTATATTTGTTTGGAAATGTGTTTAGTATAAGACAGTTGTTCTGTCAGTGAAATCTTGTGAGTTGTAACGGAGCCAAACTTTGGAACGTTATCTTTATTAAATGTTGCTGTTGTCCCTGGCTTCATATGGGTAGAGGAAAAGTCTGCTAGCCCCTAGCCTAATTTATACAATGTAAAATGCCATAGGCATGTGCTAAAAACATTAGCATATTGTATTTATGAGGAAAATGTGTCCAGATAAAGACAAGTGTTTGTCTGTGAATGCTGCGAGTTATAGTGAAGCTGATTTGTGGACTTGTGTTTGAAATTGTCTCTATTAAGCCATGTTTAATGTGTGTTTTGAATCAACTAAACTTAACAGCACACTACTTTTGCAATTTTCACTTGTTAGCTCAATTTCATTGCAAAAAACGGCTATAAACATTGCAGCATGCATCACAACTTTTTTTTTTTTTTTTTAATAACGGCTGCCATAAAATCAGGCATTTCAAACCCCGACAATCACAAAACAGCTTGTGAAATCCTCAAGACATAATAATACAACAGCAAGAACAGTCTGATAAGTTCAGAAAATGACCTCACTTCACTATGATGCAGTCTTGAAAATGAGGAAAAGACAATACTTACACTATTACAATATCCAAAATCTGAGATGATATCTCAACTCATATTACAGTGTTGATATAATATTGATATATTACATACTCTCTTTGGTTAGATAACTGTTACGTAAATGTTACTCAACGAGCACAGGTTATCAGGGTTCAAGTTTTGTGGCACAACAACTTACGTTAAGATCCTGACAACCAAGGATATTTTGGGGAAATTACAATACAATAACCAGAAATGTTTTTTTAATTCAACTTATGCACCACTCCATCTGCTGTGACGGAAGTTATATAACGTGTCTTAGTACACTTAGTCCCACACAGTGCAACTACAGACAAAATGGCAAAAGTCAAAGGGTTAATGTGAACTTTAAGCTGGTGATTAATTGCTGCACTAGACCCAATTGTAAACAGCAGATAATGGTCTAAGGAACAAACAAAATGCATTTGACACAAGGCTTATGGTTATTTTAAAACCTGCTCCAAACAACACTGACTGTATGTGTGATGTTACACAGCATCCAGCACAACTGATTCACACTTCTTTAAAAATAAAAGCAGTTTGTCAGATCTCCACACCGACATCACACTGTGGTTTAAACAGACGACAGCGAGGCACAGAACTGTTGCTCAGATGGGTCTGTGACACTGAATGTGACCCCAATCTGTTAAAGCCATATGTTCTTTATCGGGATTAGGAGGGAAAAGTCTCCATCATCAAAATCATGATTGAAACGTGAATGTGAGGGCACAGTATTTGTTGCTTAGGAATAAGCGTCAAGGACACCTAGTCCTTGGCATTATCTGAACCAATAATCCTTTACGCCATCCTGCAATGACTAAAAATGCTACTTAGTCATAAAAAGCGTCAGAGGAACCAAAGAATCACAAAAACCCTTTAATCTGCATGTTGGAGCAAATTCTGGTGTAGTGAAAATAGATCGCTATCACTTACATTGAAGGTGGCAAACCAGCTGCACAAGTGTTTACTTTCACATTTCAATAACTTTTCATTAATTTTTTTTCCTCATATTTCAAGGGTTTACATGCAAATGTTCCCCCAGAAGTGGTATTTGTGAATGCAGGCTTAAATTAAAATTCTTAAGTGTGTTGAATAAGATCTTGTTCACCTGGTACTTGGAATTATTTTCAGACTACAATTACAACAAATCCTAATAGATAAACTAACTGTGACCACACAAAATTTCAGGGTAAACAAAGTACAACATAATCATATCCAACTATTAGAAAATCAGTAATTAAATAGCATTCTGCAATAAATTTCAAATCCTGAAACAACGAGGACATAACCTGATTTCATTTGTTGGAGACTGCCTGTGTCTGAAGTGAATAAATAATGACTCATAGCTTCTGCTTCTTGAACCCCAGGGGCCCCAAAATAGCCACAGAACAAAACTAAAGGGTTTTCACTCCAAGCCAAGCCATGATCTATTCTGATCCAAACACAGAGACAGATAGGAGAGACACGATGAGACGAGGTAAGTTATGGGCCTTTTGGTGCAAAGCAAGCTTTGGATGAGTAAATCAAAACTACCACAGGAAATAGGATATCCGCTATTTTCTTTCTAGCAACTGGTTTCTATGGATTATGGTGGATTCCTACAATCAATTAAAGTCATCACAACACAGATTACTCAATGTTGCATGAGTACAGTTACTAAAAAGTCTGGTTTTGTACTTAATTTACAATGAATTACAATTCTTCAAATCGTCTTTCTTAAGCTTAAGAAATAGATAAATGGCATATATTTCTGGAGTGCAGACTTTTGGTAATACACCACAATATTGAAAGGCAAGTGAAAAGACACTATAAGATTGGTAAAAATTTGGTGAGTAAATGAGTGCATCAATAGGCAGGATTTTTGCAGACAGACAATGGATTTATGCTAATTCAGACCAGATTCAACCAAGTAAGGGTTTTCTTCAGTACTCATGTTTTAAGCCACGGTCTGTGGTTGAATGGTCTTTTTTTTTTTTTTTTTTTTTTTGGGGCTTAGGGGGGTTCTTAAGTCGGTGAAACTAAAAGTATCTTAGTGGTACTTAAGTATCGAATCAGTGCTGTTTCAGTTTCACATGGTATTAATGTCAATATGTTGGTATTGTGACAACATTACAGCAGACCCATGTCGAAAAGATTGCATAATTATGTTGCCTAGTGTAAGAGCAGTTGGAGTCTCTGAGCACCTTTAAATCTTTCCTTGATTTCATTATGTTTTTATCAAGGTCAAGGAGTAGGGTTTAGGCAAAGTCACAGGGCGTCATTTTTTAATTATGTGACCAAAGTTAGGGTTGATAGGAAGGGAGGGGAGGAATCTAGGCATCCCAGAAGAGAAGCAATTGTACCTGCACTGCAATCTGAGACAAAGCATTTAGAAAACCCCTACGAACGTCAATATTAACCAATTCCTAATCCTTGGGCACCATGTACACATACCGCACTTGCATCAACAATTAGGGCTGCCACGATTAGTCGACTAATCGATGACTAATCGACTATTAAAATAATCGATGACTATTTTAGTAGTCGACTAATCGGTTTGAGTCATTTTTCATAGAAAAGTACTATAAAAGTACCCCAAAATACTCTTACTGCAGCTTCTTACGTTCAGATATTGGCAGCTTTACACACTCTCCCATGACGGTGAACTAAAACCCTTTGGCGTGAGTAAGAAACAAGACATTAGATGACGTAATTTTGGGGTTTGGGAGTGACAGACCGACATTTTTCAACATTTTAACACATTTTTCGATGAAATGATTAGTCAACTAATCGAAGAAATAATCGACAGATTAGTCGACAATGAAAATAATCGTTAGTGGCAGCCTGATCAACAATAGCATCTTTATTTCTTAATTGCAGCTAGTGAAAAAGAAAAACCAAAGTGTTAAATTAAAGATTGGTTAAAGATACACTATGCAGTATTCTCCTCAACAAAAAACTAAATTTAGACTCATACAGAAGTCATCACTCCTGACCCACTAGAAGTGTGTGGCTGGGTATATTTCTGCAGAGAATCTGCCTTCTGCCTCTTCTTTCTTATTTACTTCTTATTATCTATGCTCAGGACGTTTATGGGCGTGTACCCCTACAGCCCTCATTAGAGGATGGGGCATTGTAAAAAGGTAGCTACCAGGTGAGAGATGGTGAGCAGCAGGCATCCAAGAGACACAGCCCTGAGAATGAGGCAAATAGTGAGGCAAGGTGCCAAATAAGGGTGACCTCAAGGTTGGCTTTTACCTTCACTGGTGAGCATGTTGTTAGTAGTAAACAACAATCCTACATTCTATACCTCTAAGCTCTTGCAGCATCAAATTTTCTCAACTAACTGAACCCTTTTAGTTCTGCCTGTCTTTAAGCTGCACAGTAGCTGTTAAAGCTAGTTTTTTTCCTGCTGGCTAGAAAGACGACGCCAAAAAACACAGAGCTGCAGCCAACACGCGCGATGTGTACGGAGACACAACTTCTGTGTCCCTACAAACTTGTTACTTGTGGCAAGTGAAAGTGACACTTGGACCGCATTTGTCTCAAGCTTGCCACTGCTACAACCCTGATGGTTGGTGGGCTGATTGGTATGAGGAGCAAAAGAAGAGACACATCTAGAGGACTATCTTGGTTAGATCTACAGTATGTTCACACTGAATTTGCACATACAATTTTCTTAAAATAAACTCCAAAATGGTTTTGTTTTTAAAGAGAAAAGCTGAGAATCAAAGCTTACAACAATTAAACATTAATCCATTGATACTTCACCAACAGAGTGCAAAGGAAGACTATAAGTTTGCATCATCATTACTTAAGATGCCTGTGACATGTTTTAAGTCTGAAACTGTTGACGTAACACACATTTAAGCAGCCACTCTTCATCCTCAGGATTAGCAAATTATGGAAGTTCACATACAGGTTTCACAACAGCAGTACATCTGAGGTGTGGTAATACAGACCTGAGACAACGTGATGCAATAGAGGCAACGTATATACTTTTTCTCAGGGTTGCTATGGTCACTGGTCATTGCTACTCTGCGGTTTGCTTTCAGTTGGCTAAGCCAGGGTGTAATAGCTAACAATAAAGAAATACTTCAAATTAACTGGGTTTATTATGAGTAATAGTGATAAAAGTAGCCTACAGAATATCTTAATCAATGAAAAAACAATAATGGAAGCTTGGGACATCTTCAAATGTTGGTGAACCCAACTAGTAACTGGGGCAACCATCAAGACTGATCAAGATAGGGTTTAAATGCATCCTCTCTAGGGCAATTATACATGTAAACATGACACAGTATTCGGGATATTCTTAATGAATTAAGACAGGGGCTTGTGAATACTCCTGTTTTATAAGGTGATACATTTTTGTCACAAGTCCAGTGAACATGCATTTGATCCCTTCCTACAGTATGAGACTGCAGTCACTAGTTGATTTCTAGTTGCCTGTTCACACCCTCAGTTCTGCAACAGTAGCGCCACACACCTCACTGCTTCACAAAACAACATGGAATTGCCTAACAGCCAAATAAAGCCATGTTTCAGTTTCAGTTCTCACATGCTCGCCCATTTGCGCGCACTCCCCTTTGCTCTATTGCCCCTTCGCTCTATTGCCCCTTCTCTGTCCGTCTTTGTGAGGTTAGTTAAATGAACATTTAGTTTAATGGAAGTTTCCATTTCTGCTCGGTGCAGCTGTGGACAAAAGATGTGACGGGCACAGACCCAGACCAGCTGACATGTCTTGCTGACCCATTCAGCTCATGTCACAGTGTCAGTCTGAATGAGGTATTTGGCATTTCCTGAGGTGATTGTTGATATCAATTGTCAATTGTAAAAAGGGACACAGGAGAGAGAGCGGAGAAGGCTAATGTTGTTAAGGCTGGCTAACCTTTAGTATATCATTCATCAGGTTTGCTCATGGTCCAAATTTACACCCTCATTTCTGTATAAGAGTCATAGGGATGGTGTGTATTATTGCACACAGCTGTAGCGGCCTAGTTTACTTCCTACATCCACTGACACACTCTGATGTCAGCGAGATAGACCATGATACCTTTCATTTTCATCTCTCCCCCGGGGGCATCACTACAGCTCTGTCTGCTGTCTGAGTGAAGCATTTCGGAGCCACAGTATATACATGAAGTGCACAGATATTATGCATTACATTACATGCTTCGACATGTTGCCGCAGTCAAAGCGAATTTGTATTAGCCTGAGTGCACTGCTGAGAAATGCAGTAGCATGGTAGCTGGTTAGCATGGAGATTGAGCCACTGTGAATCAGACAACTGGTTGAACTGGGGCTCAACTCACCCTTAACAGTGGAAACTGGGGCACAAGGCTGTGGTCCCTGCCCACCTTCAATTTATAGCTGCCAAAGTGTATTTTGCTTGTATCATTTCAAGACAACAAAACACTGTTATCACTGACAGACAAAATGCAGAGGCTCTCCAACACCTATCTGACATCAAACAACAAATATGTCATTCACTTTCAATAGATGCCATCAACAAGTATCATCCCCCACCCAATGAATCAGCAGCATAATGGCAGCCCCAGAGCAACACGCTGAAGTAGACCAGAGTAAACAAGAGTCACCTGCAGATATGGTCTGCTGTTGACCACCCACCATATACTCAAATGTCAGAGGACTGCAGAAGAGCTGCAAGTTATCTTAAGACACATTCACACATAAAAGCAACATGACTGCTGTGGTAACTCTGTAGGCGGCACTGGTGTTTTCCCCCTCTTGTCATTACTAGCAGCCTCCTATAATGTCAATGCTGAATGTAATTAGTGCTTCCAAGAAATGGTGCAGTGCTAGAAATACATCGCTTGAGGTGTGAAACTGACATTTTCAACCTTTTCACAAAAAACAAGAAGTGACAGGGCAACATTTCTATATGGAAAAGGGTACTGTGCAAACTTGTTGGTTATGGTTTGTAAACATGCTAACCAGTGAAAATCAAAGTAAACGCCAGATCCACTCGTTTGGCATTTCGCTTTGCTATATTTGAATTTTTTTGGTGCGGTGTCTCTTGGATTCCTGCTGCCTACAGCCTGGCACCTGGTTTGTACCTCTTCTCAAAGCAATGACCTCACCTGTGCACTGTTGGGGAACACGCCCATTAATGCCCCGGACACAGAAAATAAGAAAACACAGGCAAAGGGCAGAGTCTCCACAAACTTCTGAAGGGTCATAGGTGGTGATTTAGAGGGATTACTTCTATACGAGTCTATACATTGTTTTATAGGAAATTCCTGCATGATATATCTTTAATAATGTTGCCCTATTATCTCTTGTGATTGGTTAACTTAGTCCGTGCAAACGCTTACTGCTTGAGACTGTCAACAAGACTTACACGCTGGACCTGGGAATCTTCCAGTGACACATTTGGACACTTTTTTTAGCACTATGGTAGAAATGTCGAGTCATAAGTTTGAATGGGGCTGTGCAGCTTTAAATAGCTACATATAACACCTCCTGATGTATTTCAGGATATGGTGTAAATTTGTGGAATGGGTTAGAGACAGAAATGAAAGTGTGTAATACACACATAAGCTTGATGATTAACAAATATAAAACTGAAGTATGTACACCAAAGAGTACATGAAATGTGTTTGGGATATTTGGGCAGACAATAGGCCTGTATAATGTATATATACTTAGTTCTGTCAGTATCTTATTGTTCTGCATAATGTGGAGAGAGATGACAAAAACAATGAATGTTGTTTTGTTTAGTTATTTTTCTAGAATGCTAAAAAAAACATTAACTTGATGTTTATGTATTGTCTATCTACTACTATACTAGTGTTTTCAAGTTGGATGACCAAAAATAAACTAAACTAAACTAAACTAAAAAGCTTGTTTTTTAGACCTCCAGTGGTTCAACTTCTTGCCTTGCTGCAGTGGTGTACAGGCAGACTCCAAGACCCTGTAACATCACTGATGGGTGTGGTTACACGTTCACTCGAGCACACTTCTGACCACAACAACGACAAGAGGCCGGAGGCGAAATGTGTGAAACTTTTATCCAGAGCCGGCAGCATGGTGTTAAGAGATGCTGAGTTGCCTACTACAACTTGGCATGGAGATCTACTGCGTTATGATTCAAAGTAACTCTGAAAGAAAACTCTGATGTTGTGGTTATGTGACCTACAATAAGCTAGACTTCTCACATAACCTGTATTCTGGACATGTCAAGGATATTTGTGCTTGGTAATGTTTTGTAAGACTGTAAGTATTGCTGACTACAGTACTTATTCTCCCACAACAGCAGCAATCCACTGAACAATCATGAAGTAAATGCCATCTCCTACAAAGACAGAGAGGAAGGACAACAGACATAACATTTTTTAGATAAGATAAATTCCAGTTTACAATACCTCTAAAGCAAGAGCTGTTTTGTCATAAGCGCAGGGCACTCGTTTCTGGATCGCCTTAGCCATGACAGGACCGTTCTGCATGGACGGTAGAGGGGTGATAACTGCTCCAGGTGTGCCAGGGGGCAGCGGCGATGGCGTCTGGGGCTGGGCGTAGGCGTGGACGAGGGCGTGGGAGGGCTCGGGGATCCCGTAGCTGTTGGAGTTGCGAGATCCGTGGGAAGGCTGGCCGGGATGAGGTGAAGGTCGTACCAATTTCTCCACATAGGGCACGGGGATCATCCCAACACGTCCCTCTTTACTCTTGGCGCTCCACCACTGCTCCTCGGGTTTCTCCAGGATGATGAGGATTTCCCCCTTCTTGAAGGGAAGGTCCTCTGCATCGCTGCCAGTGAAGTCGTATAGAGTCCGCACATACTCCAGGTTCTCCTCCAGGCCGCCCATGGGCTGGATGGCTGCGCTCACTGAACTTGAGTACCTTGAGAGATGATGATAATGAGGCAAAGGAAGGAGACATATTGTGACTGCCATAAAAAGAAGGCCACTGACAAATGGATAATATGAAAACTCAAAAATGGGGCAGGGACAGGTTTCTCTCAAGGATCACAGACATCTTTTGATGGTGTTCAATAAAAGATGATGTTAGGTGAAAGGACACATTTCACATTTGTAAAAATGCGGCAGAACACTGGCACATGAATGTCTTCTAATGTAGTATATAGACGTAGTTGGCAAGAAGGTTTGAAGGTATACTATGCATGATTGTGGTTAATTGCTGTTGTTGGTAAACATGTTCACAAGCGAAAGTGAAAGTAAAAGCCAATCCCAGTTCACCATTCATTTGGGCACTGTGCCTCTTGGATGTCTGCTGCTTACAGCCTAGCACCTGATCACAACCTTTTCATAAAGCAGCGAGTGCTTTGGGGGTATAAATTGTCAATGTCTCGAACATTGCAAATATGGAGAAAATAAGACATATTTTCTGCAGAAAAATATACTGCCACACACTTCTACGCAGTCATTGAGTCTATACACTGTTTGTTGTTGTTGTTGGTTTTTTTTTTTTTTTTTTTTAGGAAATTCCTGCGTAATATATCGTTAATAACGTTGCTCCATTCTCCCTTGTAATTGGCTGACTTAAGCCCTTTTTAGATAGGAATTGTGCAAATTTGCAGGAAAGCCCAATCAGTTTTTTTCAGCATTGGCAGTATAAAAACAAAATTGGGAAGTGCGGCAAACTGTTGCCTACCTACTGTTGTTTATACAGAATGCGCCTTTTTCGGGGCAATGGGGGGCGTGAGCAAGTAACAAAACGTGTAGCTCAGCGTGTGATGTAAACAGTGATGTGAGAGGGAAGTCGTGGCTAGTCAGGTGGCGATTCTCTCGTAAATCGGCCCGCTCTTCACTGTCCCCGTGACGGTTAATGGCCTCTTCGTTTGCGAGGGCAAGGAGGGCGCGCAATTCCTTGTCTCTCCAGTTGCTCATCTTTACAGTGTCTGTAAGGTTTGCATTTCCATCTTGCTGCTAGCTGCTCGCTAATTCCGGCTATCAGCTGTTTCCTGTTTCTCCACCGCCAGTGGCTCGGACGTACGGCGTCATCAACAGCCCCTCCCGTTGTGGAAAGTCGCAGCGGTCTGTTTAAACTAAAAGGGTTCCACCAATATGTCTACCCTACAAGGCGGAAAATTGGGCACCCCCGATCAACTTGCCATTCTGCCTCTGTGTGTCTAAATGCTCGCAGCTGACCAGCAATACCGCCCAACATTTGCGGAAAATCTGGCAGTGTAAAAGGTGCTTTAGTCCACGCAAACGCATACTGCTTGAGACTGTCAACAATGCTCACACGCTCCACCTGGGAGTCTTACAGCTTCTCCCAATGGAGATCCCAGTCAGGATGTGATGATTTAAGGAGCCAAAAAAACATCTGTGGCAGCTGTCATTACTAAAATGAAATGTTTCTACACTACAACCCTTAAAATTAAAGTATCAAAGGGAAAATCCTGCATAGTATACCTTTAAATGAAACATCCATATGAAAACCCAATGTATTGGACAGAGTTATGAAACCATGCCACATTTATAATGATATAAAAACACTGTCATCAGTGCTGAATCCAGTTACAGCTATGGTCATGTGTATACAAACACTACTAATTGAATACATAAACATGCAAACCACAAACTTCACCAGCATCTTGGCAGGTGATTGTTTTTGTTTCCAACCTCATGTGTTGGACACCACACAGCTTTGCTAAAAACAGTTAACTGGATGTGTGGTGGTGCTGGTGATGGTGATGGTGGTGGAAATGTTCCCACCTGATTCAAATTTGGCAAAGTAGTGCATCACAGCATATCAGGAGGGCACTGAGGCCTGACTGAAAGTGGGTTGATAAAAATACACAACCTACTTAACCTAGATTGTGCAGTCTTACGTGGTGATGTGTGATGGTGGTGTGTGAAGGCATGACTGTCCTACCTGGGGGCTGGCTCTATCAGCGTGGTGGTATCCAGGTAGTGGATTTTGTAGAACTCCAGGAGAGCAGGGAGGTGGTCAAACTCTTGGTCGCCTATCTTGAACCTCTTGCTGGGCAAAGAGTTGATGATATAGTGAGACACTTTGGAGTTCTCCGACACTGACAGCACGTAGTCGCCAGGGCAGGTCGACGAGTCTCGCACCAGAAACATGCCATGTCTCTGTCCTTGTAACCTATTCTGTGCCTCTTGTCGTGACACGGGTCCAAAATACCAGGCGGACCGGTCAGATGAATCAAACCGAGCAGTTGACATGTCTGTTTGCAACAATAAGTTAATATCAGTCTACAAAAAGATTACAAAACAAGCCTAGGCAATAAGTTAAAACGTGTATGCGTGGTTGGGATTGGCCAATCACAGCAAATTGGAGGATTCAGGAGATGCAGGGCAGGGCATACGTCGCCCCTGTGAGGTTTTTCGAGTGGTTTCTGCACAAACGCTGCAGGCTCCGGAGACCTCTGATTAAAAAGAAGAAGAATGAGCAAACAAAAAACAACCTGACGTTTTCAGAGACAGGCTGCGACTGGCTTGATCCAACTTTGGAACATAATGTGGTTCCTGTGTTGAGCAGTCAATGGCTGAGTGATTGTTTGAGCGGCCAAGAGAGAGACACACTAAAAAAAAAACTTACGACAACGGAGGGCGAAGCAACAAATGATCAATGAAGCTTCCCTTTTTCGTTCCGCCTTCCGAGAACACACCAGGCTTCTCTTCTAATAATTTATCTCCTCCAGTCAGTGTCAGTTACGAGAGCGGAAAAGGTGGCCTCAGTTTTTCATCTGATAAATCCTCATGTCGGCTCAAAAAATGTCGCCAGTCGGAAACGAAATGGTTTCCTAGTATCTTCGTGGTGTCACGGTAAGGCACGCGTCATGGAAATGCGATTTTGAATCCCCTTTATCGAGTCGGAGCAGACTTTTGAGGCAGCACGGCAAAAAAATGGCGGCCCGCAACACGTCTTCACACAAAAAATTATTTCACAGCAACGGCTCGTCTCCTGCGCGTGCATCTCAGGTGCCAGGACGCTCTTCCGGAGCTCACGCGTGCATTCCTCACCGCTCGCGAGGGATTCCCGGCGTAACGATTCTATTATTTTCTACTTTCCCTTATTTCTGCTCGTCCCCCCCCTCACCCGAGCCACCAGAAGTGCGAGTACGAGACCGAAAAATGGCGACGGGAGGGCAGGTCCCGCTTTCTATCTGCACGTCACTGACGCCTGGAGGGGGAGGTGGGAGGAGGAAAGTGGGTGGGCGGGTGACGAGGACACGGACGGCCCCCCCCCCACCCCAGAGCAAAGTGTCAATCATGTTTCCATGACACAGAACATTTTGTATGACAAACGATAAAGCGGTGATGTCATAATCACAGGGGCAAATATAAAGAGGGTTCCAGTTCACACTAAACTGGGTCATCTGGATACACACGACCTCATGTGAGAAACATCAATGTCATTTTAGGCTGTGAGCTCAATTTTAAAACCCATTTTCATTAATTAATCAACACAATAGTCAAGTCAAGTTAATTTTAATTATATAGCACATTTCAAAGTCAGTGTGCTTAACATTTAAAAACCAACACACAACAAAGGCAAAGAGCAACTTTACAAGAAATGAGCAAGAAATTAGTAAACGTTACAGAAAATTTCCTGACTGATAGGTAAAAAATGTAATAAAAAAACAAAGAAACAAGGAAATGGCCTGAAAAAGTGCTAAATATATATAGAGATAGAGAGCAATTTTTTTTTCAGTAATATAAATGTAAAAATATAATAACCATAAATACATTTTTCTGAGCATTTTTTCAATTTTTTTTGGATCGTTTTCTAACAATTTCCCCACTCTCTTTCTTTTCTTTTTCAGGTTACCTTTCTTGTCATGCTTTACTATTTTCAAGCAGTTTCCATGACATTTCTTGCCAAGTTGCTCATTGCCTTTTCAGCAAGTTTTCGAAAGAAACGAAACCAATTTGCTCAGGCTTCAAAGGTTTAAAATACATCATACATGACAAACATAAAATATCATTATGCTTGAAAAAGGGGAGATAATAATAATAATAATAATACTAATTCCGAAAACAAGTTGTTCGAGAGTTTGTAAACAATGTTTCAATGTACACCGATCAGACAAAACATTAAAACCACTGACAGGTGAAGTGAATAACTTTGATTACCTTTGGTTCTGGCATTCATGCGGATACCACCTGACATGTTCCACCCACTCAAACACCCTTGCAGACCAAGTACCCCCCCTCATGGCAACAGTACTCCCCAATGGCGATGGCCCCCCAGCAGGATAATGCACCATGCCACACTGCAAACATCACTCAGGAATGGTCCAAGGAATGTGACAAAGACCTCAAAGTGTCAACCTGACCTCCACCTGTGGCACGTGCCATTAACCCTCCTCACAACCCACTGGACTAAATAGATGTGCCGCCACACTCCCACTCCCATAGATCCTGTGTCCATGCCTCAGGCCCCACCTTGGATTAGGGGTACATCTGGGGTACCGGCACATCACAAGAATCCTTCAGCAGATTGGGACCTGGGAAATTTAGAAGCCAGGTGGACACCTTGAGCTTTTTGTCTAGCTCCAACAGTTTTGTTGTGTGGCATGCTGCTTTTTTCTGCTGGGGGGGCCACTGCCATTGGAGAGTACTGCTGCCATGAGGGGGGGGTACTTGGTCTGCAACGGTGTTTGGGTGGATGGAACATGTCAGGTGGTATCCACATGAATACCAGAACCAAAGGTTTCCCAGCAGAACAATGCACTGGAACAAAATAATCAAAGTTATTCATGTCACCTGTCAGTGGTTTGAATGTTTTGGCTGATTGGTGTAGTTCTGCTGTTGATAAATGTGACCCCGTTACTCAAATTTATAACCAATGTTGTCTGTTTTTGGATTCCTCATTTCATTGGAGACATGCAAAAAAAGAAAAAAAGCCCTTTTTAGGCAGAAATAATGCAACAGGTCCACGATGCATTCCCTTCTTCATGCCGCCTTTACATTTTTACAGAGAACCAAACATCTGCATCATGCCGCTCCAGTGTGTGATTTTACACAGCATGCTGGCATCATGGAATCTAAAGAGGCGTGATAGGTGTGACCTATAACACAACATGAATGTCGGCCTCTAGTGTGGCCCTTCTTCTCGAAGGGTAAGAAGCTCCTGGACGTCATTGTTTTCCCTATTTTAGGACATTTTCAGCTGCTCCTCTTCTTCTTTGAGTTAGCTGCTAACTGCTAACAGCTACTTTTTAAATCTTATGACACAATGTCAAATATCACACACGTGCCACCCATTTTTAGTTTGCTTTTAAAAGAGAACACTGTCATAGCAGACCGAAGTTCATGTTGAAGAGAATCCTAGAGAGTAGGCCCAGAATGACTGAAAGCACCATGAACTGATTGAGAGTTGATTTTAGGTACAATGAGTAGACCTTTATTTGATGATCTAAGGTATCTCTGGTGTGTACTCAGTGAGCATTATGCAATATAGCAACGATGAGACCTCTACAGAGCCAGCAAGGTGCAGAGAAGCTTTTGTTTCCAGTTATAACACATTCCTAAAACTGCCATTGCAAAATTAAAAATCATTCAGAATGCTGCTGCCAGGGTTTTACCAAAAACTTAAAAGAGAGACCATATAAGTCCTGTTTTACATAACCTACACTGTCTCCCTATATCATTTAGAATTGATTTTCAAGTCCTTCTATTAGTTTTTAAGGAATTTAATCATAGAATCCTTATCATTTTATGTCCCCCCACGAACCCTGAGATCCTTAATTGTTCCTGATGTCACTATATAAACCCTCTCGGGATGCTTCTTTTAGCTACCATACCATGAAACACCCTGCCTTTAAATATTACACCTGCTGGCTTAGTAATCAGTTTTTTTTAAATATAGTCCATAACTAGCAGTTGTCTGTTTTAATATTTCATGATTTTTCCTATTTAGAACAGCAGCACGACCCTATATTGTTTATTTGCTGCTAGTTAGTATTGTTTTGAAACAATGTGCAAGTTTTAAATGTGCAAAAAAAACAACTTACTTATTGCATAACTAACAATACCAAAATACAACTACCATCAGCAAAGTATGTGGGTAACTGTGAAATTATCTTGTGCATCCATATCCTGTCTGTACATCCCTGTCCGCATAGGCGTAGATGTCAGGGGGTGGATGCAGGGGACATGTCCCACGCAGTAATTAGAGCACTGGTTCCCAACTGGTGGGTCGTGGGTCCATTCTGAATGGACCGCAAGTGACTCACAAACGTGTCAATTTTGTAAAAAAACACACTTTATTTTTTAAGTACAATGAATTTCCAGCACAGAGTTTTTATTTTGAAATACCATTTCCTGCTATAGAGTGAGTGATTAACAGACAGCTGCTTGATGGGGACAGCAAGCTAGCTCAACGACATGGCCATACACAAGTATGACACTGAATGTATTAAACTGTGTTGACCTTAAACTAATGACTAAGGAGAAATCTGCATCCCCTGACTGGACCGGTTGGGAACCACTGTGTTAGAACATGTGCATATGTCCCTCTTAATAAAAACATGACTGTCACTGGGGGTTTTTATTTGGACAAACATAAGTACATTCTCACCATAAAGTGTCACAGAGATGACACAAAATGGTGCACAAAATTCACCACGAGGTGGAAAATTCAGTGTCTGACACTCAAAATTCCCTGGGGGAGGGTGTCCAAACCGCCTGTTCCAGTGTTGAAAGGAAACTTATGCCCTAGCCTGTCAGAATAAGTGATGGTTGAAGAACTAAAAGTACCACAATTTAACAACACTATGAGCAAAGGTCCTGCATTTTAAAGCTTTCAGTAAAAACACAGTATTATCAGCAAAAAAAAAAAAAAAAATAGATAAAACTATGCAGAGGACTGTTAAAGGGAAATATCACCCCAAAATAAAAAATACATATTTTGACTCCTGTAGTGGTATTTATCAATCTAGATTGTTTTGGAGTTGCAGAGTGCTAGAGATACAGGCCCTAGAGATGTCTGCCTTCTCTTGAATATAATGAGACTGTCTGTTGCCAGAAATACTGACCGGGTTACTACCAAACTACATTCACTAACCATATCACCACGCAGAAGGAAGTGTGCATCTACTCATGGACAAGAGGCACATGCTCAGGTGAGCTAGCACCACTGAGCTATCTAACCGTACAGCTCCGCCGAAGGGGACGCGATCAATGTTTACATCTCGCGCTGTCATTAGCATGAGCCTCTCATGCATGAGTAGATGCACACTTCCTTCTGTGAGATGATACGATTGGCAGGTGTAGTTCTATGGAAAGAAAATAGTTGCTACATGAAACTGCTCAAAGCAATGTCTGTAGATTATCTCAACTCACTGGATTTTGATTTCTATTAAGAGACATTGCTGTTTAGTTTTTCAACTATATATATAAGTCGAGTACTGTTGAGTTCTATTATATTCAAGATAATGCAGACATCCCTATGGTCGATATCTCCAACACTCGCCAACTTACATCAAAATAATCAAGACTGATAAATAGCAGGTGAGAGATAATCATATATATTCAATGAACAATATTGATCTGCAACATAAGTAGTGACTGTAGTGGATTTGAAGTACAATATTTGCATTTATAATGCAGCGCAGTAGGTGTATAAAGTAACAAAATGGACACATGTATCAGTATGCCAAAACTCTTTTTATGTACAAATAAATTTACTTTTACTTTCCCATCATCATATAACTAGATATCTCATTATAAAGACCATATGAGGTGTCATACAGCCAAGATCTCTAAGGCCACCTGTCCTCAGAGTGTTTGCTGGGCAGAATAAACAGTTTAATCTCACTATTATTACTGTATGATGATGAATGAGTGACTGCAGATTTAATTCTTCTAAATGATGACAAGTTTCACACCCAATCACATCTGACAACTCAGTCATCTCAGGCAGGTTTTCTGAGGACACAGGCTGTACTGTTAAACATGCTCAAATCTGAATCTGCTGTATTTATAATGTATTTATTTCTAGCCTGTTATATTGTATGTCTGTAGCTCAGCATGGCTTCACAGTGCTCGAGGTGCTCGTGTGTGTAAGGTACAGTATATTTGCTCAGTCGACAGCTATTTCACACCACCAGTAAAAAGTTTTTTACATTTCCCTTTTTTAATTTCCTGTTGTTCTCCAACTTCCCCTCCGTGCAATCTCATAATAAGTATTATCTGGCACAGAACTGTGACACATCGATTCGGAGCTCCCCAACCTACCCAGCCCACAACACAATATGCTGAAAGGGAGAGAATGAATTTGAATGCAGAGGGCAATGCCTCAAAAGGAAGTCTTAATAAAGAGCGATACACACCAACGGAAAGTGTTAGAACACACTGCCCGAGCACGACAAGCCGACCAATGTGGCGGGGACGACTTCTGCTCATTGATGAAAGTAAAATATATAAAGATGTGGCTCTGTTCCTCTGGTTATTGAGGTTTCAGTGACCATGGCTCATGAGGCTGCAGCTGGCACGGAGCAGCTCTCATCACTGCGGCGCTGTCTGAATGTTAATAGATTCGCACCCACTGGGTCTTAATGGCTAATGCCTGCCAATTCCCACATTTCCACAAAGACGCAGTGATGCAACAAATTGGAAAGACAAAAACAAACAGGGCTTCTTACTCCTCCAAAATATACACAAAAATGCAGATATGTAAGGACACATATTATCTAAATGTGTGCATTTTTGGAAACACTTTTAATTCAACCATAATACGGGTTTAAACCTTTGTTTTAGATATATATTCTGATTTTGTGATGCAAGGTCATGACAGCCGTTCATTCAGAGGTGATACATGTAAGGAACTGTATTTTTGTCACAATGCCAAATACACATGTCCATGCAAAACATGAAATAAAATGTAGACAACATTTCTGTGAGATTTTGAAATTGAGGCTAAAGTAAGTTATGACATACTTGCCTCTAACCTGCTGTCAAACATGTATAGGCTTCGACTGAATGGATGCTCACTGAAGTTTCTTGAGAAATAGCACCATCTAGTGGGTGCATGAAGACACACGTCTGTCTTTTGTTTAAACATATCGGTAAAGTTTTATCCTCTTTTTCATTTTAGACTGTTGAGACTGTATCAGGGAGACAAACTCTTGCAAAAATTGACAGGCACAGCTGTCAAGCACAACTGTAGCCTTGAGTGCACCATGACAATTCCTGCCAAGGGACACACTGGCATCTTGCTCACTCCTCCTCTGACGTTACAGAAATGTCTAGGAGCAAATCAGTGACCCTCAGGCACAGGATTGCTTTTCTAACCATTACCCCCTGGCTATTATTACTGTATTAAGAATGTGCCTTATGGGCGGGAATTGCAATGAAGAATTTATATGCATGCAAACCATTTTCTTGGTTTCAATACTAGACGTTAATGGTAAAGAATTCGTTGTATGTTATGCTTTATAAATGCAGCTACTCAAACATGACAATACTGGCAAAGACCAGTATGTTATCCTTTCCCTAGATGTAACTTGTATATTTCAGAGGGGAAATTAACAGGCAAAGTTACCTTTTTAACATTTTGTTTCCTACTAAAAGCTTTAAAAAGCACCTTAATTGAAAAACACCAATAAAAATGTAGGCAAAACTACACAGTCAAGCTCAGGCTGCACCTTGTGGAGGCCTAATCATGTGTATTTGTCGAATATGTGAAGGTTAGAGCTCTGAACCGAGTTGCTGAGTGGTCATTTTCAGCCTGCTGGGTCAGCCATCCCCTTGTTGTTGAGATTGATGGTAAAGTCAGAGTTACTGTGTGAGATGTTGCTGACAGAGTGTAGATGTGATTCCAGACTACAGAGAGCATAGATGAATATAGGAGAGCTGGCATCGCCAGTCGCCGTTTGAGATATGATTTACGAGAAGTAAATTTAATAACTTCCAGCTCAGTCGTTAGCGGCCGTGACAATGTCGCAAGGGCTGGTATTGTTTTCACCTTGTGAGTCGGGGAGAGTGTGTCATCATGAAGCTGTTTGGAGTACTATGCCAAACAGCTTCATGATGTTTGGAGTACTATGCCAGTTGTCTGTGGACACAGTTTTGTCAGTGTGATAAAGATGGCGCCATGACACTTTACAGGTATGTAGTTGAGATCAACATGAGGGATTTAGTTTGAAAATGGGTGTGGTCTGACAAGGTGGCTGGAAATAGGGTGGTAGGAAGTGGGGAAGAGACCATTAACCCCTGCCCTGTATCTACTTTAAGCCACAAATCACTGTATCACAGCTGGAGTGATCTCTAGTTGTATTTGCCTCTGGTAAATGAGCGTGAGTATTACGACGTATGCCAAGATTTACACATCAGATAGCTGTATAAACATCCAATAATGAGTTTCTTCTTTACAGTTGGTTTTAGAGTATGCTAAGCCAGGTTCGTGCCAGAATTGTCTGCCCCGCCTGTCTGCATGCAGTTCTTAACCTGCCCTACTATGTTGCACAACTACAAGCTAGGTTTTGATGCGTGTTGTGAAATTTGGCAGGGTGATTTTGGATTGGTTGACGTTCACACAGCTGTGGCTATGTTTACACGACTGCCAAAACTGATCATATTCTGTGGAAAGAACAGGAGGAGGTATCAGTCTGGGAGGAAAAACAGGATAGCACTATTTTGCGTTCAGAGGATTTAATAGTTTTGTGTTGTGCTCAGTTGTTCTGTAGGTGCACGGCTGGTGACACACTGACCAGTTACTCTGTACAGTGTCAATACAAACCAATACAAAAAGAGAAATATGGCTGGTAGTTTCTTCTGTCATCAATTGCATGTGCATTTAGAGGCTTAACTTTGGTTGTTTGCACTGATAAGTTTTGAATACTTAGCTGCTTGGTAAGTGACAGGTAATTTGTTATATATAGTTATATGAAATACAACAATTGCGCCATCATTTTGGCAGAATTACAACAAATGTGCAGTGAAAACTAAACAAGAATCTTTCTCAGTTTGGTGAAACAACACTTAAAATGCCCTAAAATGCATTGTTTGGTAAAAAATAAATACATTTACCATCCCCAGTACAAAGTTCGATTTTAAACATTCTTTCCTTTTGATTTTGTGCGCAAAATTAAAACCTTTTAAGTCTGCAGACCTTTCATAATCTTTTAATTTTATCTGTACTCCATGAGCACAATTCTGAAGCCATCATCTCAAATCATCGGATATGCATACTTCACATGTATATCCATAACTGTGCGCTCAGTTTTTGACATGACAAGCCCCAGTCCTGAGATGGGTGTAGCTGCCGCTGTGGTGGTTTTGAATGTGTCACTGCACCGTCCTTTTGAAGCGGTCTCTCTGCACAGCGCGGGTCCTTCTCTGTCTCTCTGCAATGGTGGAGCTGAGGCTCTGTTTGAGGGCCGGAAGGACGACCCCAGACTGAGAGGGTCCAGACCTGGGAAAGGAAATATGTAGATTTAACTGAGAGCATCCCGACAAACCTCTATATTGGTTACAAAAGGCAGTACATGCAGTATTAAGAGGGTTTGAGCGACGTACGTTTTTTCTGGAAATGTCTGAAGACCAAGTTTTGGAAATTTCTTTTCCTCTGTAGTTTTGCTAGGAAATACAAAAAAGAAATCCTTTATCATTACTGTGCTATTTTTTTAAGAAATAGACTATATATTGGAGAGGATAAAAATAATAATATTCTCTGTCACTTTACCGGGTCCCATCGACAAGGTAGGCCTTGGTCAGGATGTAGTTTTCTGGGGTGATTTTCTTGCTCAGAACAATATCTCTCAGCAATGCCTTCACTCGTATAATCTAAAAAATACAGAGTTGTCATGAAGTCATGAAATATTCCCACAGAACACTGAAAGGCAAATGTATTTTAGCTTGATGATGGGCACTTACTTCCTGAGACTGTAAGCTGTTAGCATTGTAGAGCTGCCGGATGATGACCTCACACTCCTGTAGTGTGGGAGCGCGTGGTGGATGGGAGGGATTGCTGTGAATCCGTAGAGGCTGTAATGAGGTAATGAGGCCCCCCTTCATCTCTGGGTCACGGTCCTGGTGGGCAGATCCCAGAATTTCGCTGGTTTGTCCAAAGCTGCTCAGTGACATGATATGAATTAAAAGCAACATACAAACTGTTAAAGGCAGGCTGGGTTGTAAACACCTGGTTGCTACACCTACAGCTACAGCTATGGATAAAGACAAACTGATTCACTGGCTTTGTTAGTACGACAAGACCTGGGACGGGTTGCACAAAACACCTTAGGTTTTCTCCTTAAGTATGACACATAAGGCTTAATTTCTCCTTAGCTGAGGGACTTACACAGTGCACAGAATCCCTTAAAAGGATTCCTTTGTTCAGGAAAAACTAATTCACTGTGTTTAAGAGATTTTACAGCAGTACAAGTTTCCATGGAGATTGTTTGCTTGGTCTCATGCTAGTGATGCCTGTTTTCATCTTACAGAGTTGGCTTATAGTTAGATAGTGAAAAAGTGGCAGAAGAAAAGAAGACAAGAAAACCATATAGGTCAGAGGGGGACAAGATTATACTTCTGGAGGAATACAATCATAGCAAGCACAAACTACAAACTAAATTTGATCCCCAAATACCAGAAAACAGAAAACGATTGTACAAGATTCAGTCACACCTAAAGCGTAAAATCATCACCATAAACTCGGCCATGTTGCAGTTAAGATAGAGTCAGAGGTACTTTAAGTTTTTTTGTTTTGTTTTGGGTTTTTTTTTACCTTGCTTTGGTTGCTAAGGTCTTTTCTGCAACGGTCTAGGGATTCCTTAAGCATAAGACCACAATATGGAGAAAACCATAAATACTTAAGAGAGCATTTTTGAAGAAACCCTAACTAGGACTTTAAGGAAATTCTTAACTTTAGGTGTTTTGTGCAACCAGCCCCAGATGTACAACATGTTATACAATAATTAGTACTTTAATGAACGCAGCTCTGGGGAGTTGTGAACTCTGGTAAGTTTAAGGACTTGCAATGTAATTCTAATCAACCTATGACAAGAATGTCACTAGGTGGACATTTGTCAGTCACCTCTAAATGTGTGGCTTTAAGGGAAATGTCAGTGTTTTTCAGCCTGGACCTTATTTTCTCTTATTTTTGTATCTAAGCGACTAAAGCAGGCAACAATTTTTGAAATTGGTCCAGTATTGAGAGACACCACTGAAGCTGCACTGATGGAACAGGCTGCAATGTAATCCCTACATTATCCAAGGGTAACACTGTAAGTGGGATTCTCTCATATGTTCCACTTCATTTCCATTCAAACTTATAATGTATAAAACTATTCACCTTTCACTGGTCTATTTGTTATTTTGACCAAGTCTTGCTCAAGGAGAAGTCTCTTCTGAAATCTGTTGTAATGTGACTTACTGCAGGAAAAACAATGGTGGGAATGTTAGTGAGAGTTGGAGAGAGGACTACAGAGACATTTGTTGTGTTGGAGTATAGAAAGCCTAGCTTAGTGTCATCTAAAAGATTTTCAGGGTCACAGCTGAATATTTATTTAGTCGATTTCAACAATGTGGAAAAGTCTGTAAGATTTCAGAATGAGTTTTTCCCTTGAGCAAGATGTGGTTACACACTCTAACAAATAGACCACATCAAGTGAAAGGTAAAGAAAAAGGTTTCATTTCTCTGTAGGGTCTTTTCCATAATGCTGTCAGACACCAAATTGTTCCTTTAAGCCAAACCAGGAAATGTAGCTGTAAATTTGACAAACAAATGTAATGTGGATACATCAGCATCTCTCTGTGTGGCTGTTTGACAAGGTGGCTGCAGGCTAACTACACACACAGTAAAATCAGTTGGGCCTTTGCATAAGCACACACTAAAACCCCTTGATAAGAATTTTTAAAGGAAATAAAACTCTGTGAGCTGGAAACGCCTGATTAACCATTCAAATAATAATGTGCACATAACTGGACCGACAAAATATGAAACACATTATGGCCACTTTAGATCTGACATTTAAAAGTCAAATGTGTTCACCACTGAGTCAACAGCACTTTGTGAACCTGTTTTCTCCTTCTTCACACACTGTAGCTGTGGTGTACCACTGCATGTGGTAACTAATGTGTTGTGTCTGTGCGTTCACATCTTGTTAGTGTGATTAATGTTCCCACTGATGTCACTTTACATGTGCATGTCACATACTTTATGTGCTACAGTGCATTAATCAGTACTGCATGGTGTCTTTTACCTAAGCTGGAGCAACACATCCAGTATTATCGTGAGATGAGATTTGTTAAATCCTAAGTTTCTGCTTTATGTCTTAATTAAGGCAGAATGACACAAATGTCCGAGCTTCTCTGACTGTCCTGGCTGCGTTAAATTAACAATGCAGCTAACTGTTTTGTCATCACATCCATGTTACTTATGATTTTGCCTCCCAAGTGCTGAACAAGAACCAGAAGGAAGCTCACCTTAGTGCTTGGTCCTGCGAGGGCCGCGTGTCCTGCAGTGGCTCCTCCAGGTAGAGTCCTGTATGGGCTTCACTTCCCTGAGTGGGTGGTCTAACGCCTCGTTGACTATGTGTCATTCCTGGAAGAATGAAGACCCAAGGCAAAGATAGTAAGAAATTGTTAAGTGCTGTCTGTGCCCCTCAAGTTATTTGGCATTCGAGTTTCACCAAATTGGCTCTAGCATGAGATAATAACAACGAGAGCAGGGGTAGGCGACCTGCGGCTCTGAAGCCATATGCAGTTCTTTAGCCGCCCTGCTGTGGCTATCTGTGGCTCAAAATGTGTACCATGTGTCTACAACCTGGTGCCTTTTTGTCCAAATTTTGCCAAACCTCAACAGCTGTGGCTAGTCTTGAGCCTCCCTCGCTAAGCTTGCAATGGATTCCAAATCCATAAAAGTAAAAGTCTCAGAGGAAAACACAGAATTTAATAGAGAGTGGACAAATTACTTTGCTTTCACTGCCAATTTTGCAAAGTTAAAGTACCAAATAATCACTGCAGAGGAGCCAACTTGTGGTGAAACGTATTTTTGAATGCTAATTTAGACTTAATATTCAGTGTTACCATGAAGCTCAAATATATTTTGCGGCTCCAGGCAGTTTTATTTTATTGTTTTGGTCACATGTGGCTTTACTGATAGTTAAAGTCGCTGACCCCTGAAGAAGAACATAGCCTCTCTATTGTGGGGATGCCTTCTACACTAACATTTATCAGCTGTCAGAGATTTTGCAATGATGTTTGTACATATGTATTAATATCACAACGTGAAATGACATGCCATGACTACTACTTTAACTTTACCAGCAGGTCACAACAAACCAACACTACATCACACCTTACCTTTTCTGCTTGACTTGGGAGGCTCCATTATCAGCTTATACTGCAACTCTGCAACATCCACATTAAGAGAATTTTAGTGTAGTAGGGAGGCACATGAGAGGCACAATCTTGTAACACGGTCCCACATGTTTCCATGGGGGCCCTGGCTGCTGTGACAGATGAGTGGGGAGTCTCCTGGTGGGTGGTGAGATGCAGTTATATGGAGCAGCATGTGAGCTGTTCAGTAAAGTGACACTGGATCTGTGTCGACCTCCCACTGAGAGCCCATCAAAACCCCAGCGTTGCTATGCGACCACGGTACCTAGATTGAATGTCTCTCTTTTCAGCACACCTTTATCAGGAGGCAGCCAGGTCTCTGTCATTTACTTAAATGTGTTAGACACAGGATGTGGAGACTACAACAGGTTAACGAGTTCATCTCTTGTAAATGCAAAATAGTGATATGGATTCTTTTGGGCCACTTTAGCACTGCAATTTCTTTTGGGGGATAATATCCCCAATATCTATCTATATATTGATGAAACACAGTATTGATCACTGAGCATTCTTTGCTGGTTTTGCACCTAACTTTAAAATCCCTCCTGCAAAGTGAGAGTCCAAATCAGAGCACACATTGTGGTTTATTTTGCATACAATGAGTTTATTTTAATATCTACTTTGCTTTCTTTTCTCCCCTTTATTTCCTTTTGCAAGGCACTTTGTAACTAGCTACAGTTATGAACGTTCCTACTTCTTACAGTTTACTTTTTACTCTTCTAATATCAGCATGGTATAACATCATTTTGCGTGGCTAACCCCTGAAAGTAGCTCAAACTATTTTACTGGTTCCAGCAAATATGAAGGATTTTAATCATCCCAAATTAGCAGCTCATAGTGGTTTCTTTACCTTTATTCTCCCGTCTGAGATACTCTATTTCTGCATGGAGCTTCTCCAGGGTCTCCCTGTGTTGTTCTTGGAGGAACTGGATGTTTCTGTGCAGTGAAGCGACGCGGGGGTCCATGTCGCTGTGACAGGACACCTCTTGTGCTGCTGCTGCTGCGGGTCTCCACACTCCTCCTCTCTCCGCTGGCGGCGCCGGGGCGACAGGCAGCGGCTGCCGTTGGTTGGTCGGTAAACGCTGGGGAGAGCAGGATTTCCCGAGGCGTCCAACTCGGGTCCATTGTGGCAAATGCCGCACCGGTGGCAGGTTGTTACTTGACATTACTGTGGTTCGTTGAGCTAACGAACCATTTTAGCTTCGTCTGCTAGCAAGGCGGCGACGACTTGTTTCCGCACGAGCCAACTGTTGACTCCTGAACAAGCTAGCACTGTTAGCTTACTGTGTTTTCTCTTACCATTATACTCCAGTGTGGACAGGCCGACTTACATTGAGTTAATACGACACCAGGCTAACTAGTTTTCTAAAGTCTGTTGCTTGTAAACAGCTCAAGTACTCTAAATTAACTCTACTCTCATTTGACATGCGCGACACTCACACACAACGTTGCTGTGGCAACCAGCTCATTATCAGGGAGATTTTGCCCCGAGTACAGCCTGTCAGGTTGCACAAAGCCCCGCCCCCTTGGTTAAACAAGGCGTTTGATTGGCGGAGCTTGTTAGTTTGAATTAATTGTAGTGGTTAAAAATTATTTCGGTAGTTTCGCAACTTAAATATATATATTAAGATAAATGAGAAAATAATTAAATTTAATAAATCAATTAAATCAAATTAAAAGTAAAATAAAATAGATAAAATTAAATTAAATTAAATTAAATTAAACAAAGTACATTTACTCAAGTGCTGTACTTAAAGGGGAACACCAACCTAAATTACGAATTACAATGTGTTATTTCCATGACCGGGGAAAGTTCTGTCAATATTTGTGAATGTAAACTCTCAAAGCCAGAAACCAGAGGAGTAAGTCCCAAACTTGTGATGTCATGGGGTATCAAGTCTAGAGCTGCTTCAAAGACAGTGAATGGGAGACTGATTTCGTGGATCCATAAACCTTTTTTTTTATATACCCAAATGAGCTTTATTTTACTGTAGTGTTCTCAGTTGTGAAACAGAAAATGGACCCAGAACATTCCTCTGAGGTGCTCTCAGTGTCATCTATGGCATCTTTTCTATGTCATTGTCTGTGGAGCAGTTCCAGATTTTATACGTTTAATATCACAAATTTGAATTTAAGCGCTCTGGCTTTTGGATTTGGGAGAGTTATTTGCATTAATTAATATTTTTGGACTGTCTTAGACCGTAGGAATAACGTATGAATTTTAAAAATGGGTGTCGTTTCCCTTAAAGTACAATTTCAAGATAACTTATTTGAGTATTTACATTTTATGCTACTCTATACTCTATTACAGTTTGGAGGGAAATATTGTACTTTTTATTTAACTACATCTTTAGTACTTGTCACCTTGCAGACTTAAAATAAAAATTGAATAAATTATGGTGTATTACTGGATTACAGATTAAGCCACCCATTAGTATATTAAATTGTTAGGATTGGCTCCACATGTACCTGCTGCAACATTTAAGTGACAAACATGTTTATGCATCAATAACTATAATCTAATACTGTAATAAACATTATTCTGAAGAGGAGAACTATAGGTGTAGATTTCAAGGGGGACATAGAGGATTCCCCTCTCAGTATTTGGTCCCCCTCATTAAAAACATGACAGTAGGTGACGATTTTTGTTCTGACAAAATGAAAAACATTTACACTGTAAATTGATGCAGAAAAGGCAAAATTAGTGCATAAAAATAACCAGAATGTAGAATGCAAGTGGTCGACGCTTTACATTTTCTGACTGAGGACCCTTAAACCCCCCGTTTCATATGTTCCCCCTCCAAATGTTAAAACAAAACCTACACCCTTAATGAGTACTTTCACTTTTGGCACTTAAGCACATTATGATGCTAATACTTTTGTACTTTCACTTGAGTATTTCCACAATGTAGTATTCCACTTGTACTTAAGTAAAATATCTAAATCCTTCTTGCACCACTGGTTGTTAAATATTGCATTTGATTCTTGGTACTTCAACAGGGAAGTGAAATTGATGAAAAGCAGTGGCGTCATGGAATTTGAGGAAACAAACAGTATGTGAAATGACGAGCCGTAATGTTGAGTACATGTGACTTGTAATGGGTTGTCTAAACTGTGCCAAGATGCTTTAAATAGACTTAATTTTAAGTCCCAGAGTTTAATTGGTCTTTGCAGCAGGTTTACTAGGTCAGTGCAGGACAGTCGCTGCATCTGCCTCACCAGCCTTCATTGTACTAACGAGGAAACAAAATTCAGTTCAGGTTCAGCCTCCATAACTGAGGTGTCACGACAGCAGAGGAAACTGGCTTCATCTTAAGACAAGTTACCTTTCCTTTCACTTTATTCATGTTGCAACTCTCAAACAGTAAAGGTTACATCACACACAGGGACACTGAGATAGTGTGTCTGTCATAGATATGACAACATTAAAATGCTTTTTGCAACAGTAAAGAGACAATATGGAAGATCAGCAGAAGGCCTATTCTTTGGAAATGTATAGGTGGTATGGTACTGTTCTCTCTCCATGCCTGCAGCGTCATATATATACAATAACAACAATAACTTAATTTACAATATTTACAGGTAATACAGAATCTGTAAAGTGAAAACACACAAAATGAAAACATTCAGGTATGTTCGTAGCAAACATACAAAAATAAAAATCCAAATCAAAGACAGATCTATCATGGGAGTGCAAACATTACACTTCATCTTAAGTTTACATGATACTTTGATCAGTAGCCCTGGAGCTGGTCAGGGGGGTCAGTGTTTTGCTCAAGGACACTTCAGCAGAGTGGATACATGCCTGTCATAGGGCAACATCTACGCACTTCCTACACCAATCATTTCACTCTTTAATCATTTCAAATGCTTCACAAATTAACTCTTACCCCAGATCCTCATAATTAGGATGGCCAATGGCAATGATTGTAGGGAACAATAAAAAGTGACACATGCATCTGTGTTATAATAAGATGTCATCCCTGTCTGCTGTATCTTTCAAGACATCATTACAAAGTGACTGAACATGACAGAGACAGAGAGGCTGTGGATGAGTTGATATTAGGAATGTTCGCTCAAACAAACAATATACGCACGCAGAGAAACTTTACGAATCTGACAAAAGGCCATAAAGCAAATACACGTATATTTAGAGAAATCTTCACTGTGAAAACCTTTCCTCTCTTCTGTCCTGCTAACAGTGCTACTATACTGGCTTCACAAAATGTCAGCCCTAGCCACACATCAACACCTTAATCTAAAATATGCACTTAGTCGCCATCTTAATTAACTTAAAAAAAGCAGATGAAGATAAACCTCAGGCACAGAAAGTTGTACTTGGTTGCACCTTTCCTCATCCACGCAGTTAAGCAAAATCAAACCATTCACATCTTGTTACAGAGCGATGTCGCTACTTCTGTATTGAACACACCCCATTGTCCATTAATACATCAAACAGCATTCATACATGCATGCATGCACACCAAAGTTGACCCTTCCCATTGGCCCACAATTCAAGGGGGGGGGGGTAAAGGTATCCTGTCAGGGTGCGTGTCCGAGGTCAACATCAACAACACACAAATATTTCAGGTAAAATCAACAGGTCACTTTTCAAATCTCGGAAACTGAACACAACACAACCAATGCAAATCTTTTTTGTCAGCGTAAAGCAATTTTTCCATTTTCTTCTTAAAGAAATCTTCCTAAGGTTTCGTAGCTTATACCATCTCTTCGTCAGCATTCTCACATCTAACACACGCCGCCTTTTGACAGCAAGTATAACACAACTAAAACTGCAATAAAAGTATGGAATAGAAATCTCTAAAGAAGGTTATCTACAAAAACTGAATGGTTCGATACAGTACTTCAACAGTGCAAAAACATTCAGACGTTAACCCCAGGACGAACCTAAATTTTAGTAACATTTGGCTAATCTTAACGCTGCTTCTCTCCTGACAGACCTACATTCAAATGTGATTATACTCCAAAAATGATTGATTGATAACATGGAATCAGACAGAATATGGAATTGTGTGGGAAAAAAAATCGCCAGCAACAGCAGCACCAAAGCTTCTGTGTACCTGAAGAATACATCCCAGGTTATTGCAGCATCTTTAACATGATTATATCAGGGATGCTAACAGAGCAGTCGCAGTCTGGTGGATTAAAAGCTATGTTTTGCATGTAGCGGAGGGGTAGCGAGTGTTTTCTGGACCCATTTTCTCCATCTTGTCTTATTACCTGCCACCATTTTAAAAAGAAAACCCCAATTACATCATTGTTAAAGTGACGGAAAATGGTCTTAAACATGAAGAATCGGTAAAGTATGAAACCCAGGAATCTTTTTTTCCAAACCAGCATAGTTGTCTACCATGAGTCTAAAATATAAGCTAACACAAAAACAACTACACACTGTTTGGCAACAGTTTTGTGATAGTGCTTACATGCGGTTCCAGCCACCAACTGTATGTAGCATTACTATTTATACTTCCTCTCAGCAAGCAAGTAACAATTAGATAAATACCAGAACGAAATAACCCCAGGAAAGCAAACAAGCGGTAGAAGACAAACATACATTTGATGAGAATGATACTTGGCCGTTCCTGCTCTTCATCAGCACACGTCCTTACTGTATGTAGGTGTACAGCAGATACTGTACATTCCCTCCAGCGACTCATCTCGGTAAAAGATTTTGTCTATAAAGTTGCCTTTTGCGACTTGGTAGCGCAGATATTTGTCCATCTTATAACGCTATCTGTTATAGATAAGTATTGTATGTGGGTATGTGACTACTTGGCAATAATTGCTCTTGCAGGTGTTACACCTAGTGAGTGGAATCTTCCATTTCCAGCACCAGGAGCAAAGTCCTCTCACACAGATGTGAGCGCAGACATTCCTTCACTGCACAAGTGCTTCATGTCAGTGAAAACTGAAGCCTTGTGGTTTTCTTGTGAAAACTGAAGCATTGCTAAGTGAAAACCATGAGATGTAGGTGGAGATTTGGTTTGTTGAGAATGTGCAGGGTGCAAATAACTGACATCATATCCACACGTCAAGACGCAGCGTGGGACTCTCAGACGCAGAGTCCTGACTGCAAAGCTGTGAGGCGGCGTTCGATGCACTCCTTACCTGCAGACACAAACAAAAAAGACAATGGGTCATAGGCCACATCCACATTAATATATTTCATTTCAAATAGGGTTGCAACTAACTATTATTTTCATTGTCGACTGATCTGTCGATTATTTCTCGATTAGTCAACTAATCATTTTATAGAAAAATGTGTTAAAATGTTGAAAAATGTCAGTCTGTCTCTCCCAAACCCCAAAATGATGTCATCTAATGTCTTGTTTCGTACTCACGCATAAGGGTTTTAGTTCACCGACATGGGAGAGTGTGTAAA